TATATATATATATAATTACCCCCTAGAGTCAGAAATGACTAGTACATATGTGTGAGGGGAACCTTAACCTTTATCTTTTTATGATCAAATGTATTTGTTGCCTATCTTGCAGTTCAAGGCAACTCTAATATTTATAAATATTTAATATTTATTTTGGCAGATCTTTCATTCTTTGATTAGCTGAGTAATTGGAATATTCTCAGCTGGAGTTCTAAAGAATACAGTGCAATTCTTAGAGTGCAGGAATAGTTAAAGGAATAACAATAGTTTCTTCATCAAATTGAAGTCCAGATGTCCAGGAGAAGAGCCTTTTCTGCCATGGCTCCTACCTTTTGGAGCATCATACCTTCCAAGGTGAGATATACACCCACCCTCCTGACCTTCCACAAAGGCCTGAAGACCTGGCTCTGCAACTTGGCCTGGGGCCCCAAAAGGAATGTACCACTCTGAAGGTGGCTATAGATCTAACTGTCCCTGAGGTATTTCATGCTTCCCTCCTCCCTATTTTTATTGTTGTTACTGTTATTGTTGTTTAGTGTCTATCATTTTAATGTTTACACATTTTTTATGCTTGTAAGCTACTCAGAGTTGTCTCTAAATGGGCAGCATTTATTTATTTTAAATAAATAAGCAAATAAATTTGGCAATTCAAAACTTTCTGAATTTCCTGGTAATAATATAAGTTATTCTTAATTTAGTGGGATCTTTGTTGAATGCATATAACTAATATGAAACAAAGTTTTCAGATTAAAAAATAGAGAAAATAGTAATATATCATTCAAATACATTTCTGTAATGTTTCATATTGTAACTGCAATGTTACCATATGAAATCATTAATCAGTGCTAAAATTATGGGAATTTGTCTTCATATAATTAAGCTTAATTCTGAAAGTGATGTCCTATATAAAAGTAGCCATGGTGGCAAACATTTTATTTCCATAATGAATCCCTTTCTGCACTTAAATTTCTTTATAAATGGGTAGTGTGGAACAGTATTTCAATTGTTGGCAAAATGTAATTATCTTTAAAGAATATTTCTTTGTGCAGATGGCAATTACACAACAGAAAGAAAGGCAGAAACCCAAATTCCGTTTTCTTTTCTTTTGTCACTTTTCTTCCTTTTTTCTATTTCCTGTTTTTTATACTTCTATTGTATTCCAAAATTCTAATAAAATGTTTTTTTTAAAGAATATCTTTGTTGACAAGCTTGAACCAAGAACTTAAATCACTACTGAAATAGTGACTTGCTGAATGAGGAAAGGAGTCCTGGTCCCTCAAATACAGGGCTGCTCAACCAAAGAATCTTGTCATGAATGTTTTTTGTAATTCCTAGGCCTTTATGGTACCAAAAGGTTCCCAGTCATTTTTTTGTAATTCCTAGGCCTTTATGGTACCAAAAGGTTTCCAGTCATTTTGAGAGAAGAAGTTGACAAAAAAAAAAAGAAATATTGAGACTAAAATTGTCACCATTTTTTTCACATAAAATATTTTCTCTCTCTCAGAAATACAGAAAGAAACTGATAACTGAAAATTCTGGTCAGGCCCATAGCATAAACACTGCTCCAAGCATTTTCTATTATTATTTTTTCATCACTGTGGTCTTAATCTATCAAAAGCTGTTAAGTATGGCTGCTTGCCAATAAGCAGTTACAATCCCAAATTTGTTTTTCATCACATCCTAATCTCTTTAACACAAGAATCATTGCAAAATTTCTCCACCTTTCCATTTGCAGAGCAACTCCTGTTTGCCACTTATCTATATAACTGAAGAACTAGTCCTTACTATTTGGCAACACGTGACTGTGGCAATATAGTTTTCTTTATGGTTGAACGATTTAATGATTTAATGGAGAATTTGGGTTGGATTGATTTCAACCTTGTATAGAAAGTGAATTGAATGAAATGCATGTCTTAAACTACTTTAAGGGCCACCTTGATGTTTCTTTTTATAATACATGTGAAAAAAATGGAAAATTAGATTTAGATTTGTGGATAATAATGATCAAAATCTAGAACTGAACCAAAAAAAACCCCTATCTATTTCCCAGGTAAAGGCATATCTTAAATGTTGTATTTTAGCAACACCATTATATTATACCATATACCCCATTCTTATTTTAATTTCTTCAACTTTAATGATTCTGTAACAGTTCTAGCCAAACTTTTCTTACTATACCAAAGAGATATAGACTTGAAAATTGTCCTTTTCTAAATTGGAAGGGACGTAATGACAAAGATCAAAAGGCTAATTAATTTTAAACTACATACTATCATGGGTGTAAACTACTTACTATCATGGGTGTATTGCTTACATATCCACACATACACAGAATATATTTGTTTAAGAACATTATTCAAATACAGTTTTAGATTAAATACTTGTGTAGTTTGTAAGTATGCTGCTTAGCTGATGAAAATGAACAATACTTCATTGTAGACATAATTTTATTTGCAATGCCCCATCTTAAAAAAACATATTTTTCCCCTGTTTCTCCTAGCTACCCAAACTCTCATTGGGAAGATTCCACTTTTATTTTAAATGGAAAGAACAGCTGCAGGATGTGCAATTTTTGCTTGAAGTAAACTTTGAAGGCAGGTGAACAGTTAATTTTGATTTTAGTGTGCTGGACTGCTGCCAATCACAAAGACAATTAAAAGGACCAGTGAGAGAAGTAAGAATACAGGATTGGTTGACTGGCTTTGCAAGCATATCCCCAAATATTCTCTCCCCAACAAAGAGAAGCTTTTTCTGGCTGTAAGCTACACAGTTTTAAAAATTAAAATAATAACAATAACAATAACAATAACAATAACAATAACAATAACAATAACAATAATAATAATAATAATAATAATAGGACTAAATCACAAATGCACTATTTGATGCAAGACAATTACTGCCTTGGAAAAGAAAATGTTTCTCAATCTATTAGTTGTATAATATATTTTATGTGTATGTGGAACGATAATGAAAGAAGCTGTTGCCTGCAAAAGCTCTTGCCACTTAGTCCTTCTTTCTATTATCTCACTTTAAAGAGATCAAAGCCTTACTATGAGAGAGCAACTAGATGTCAGGTTCATGTGTTTATGATTCTTCTACCCAGCTAAGCTCAAACAATGCCTAGCTCTAATAGAGTCTGCAAGTTCTTGCCTTCTTATACCTTGGGATAATGCCCACATTCCTGTTCCACTCCACTTCCAATAGGCCTGAGGGAAAGATGATTAACAGGTGATATGATCACCATTTTCATATCTGAAGGGCGATTATGCGTAGGTGATGAAGCAAATGTAGTTGTTGTTGTTGGGCTCAAAACAATGAGTTCACATTACAGAATGAGAAAAGGAGAGACGGAAGATGGTGAATGTTATATGTTAGGAAATTTTAATTTAAAAATAACTTCCTGGTGGCACAAGTGCCAATGATGAAGTTTGGATGACCATCTGTGTAATTATGAATGGCCTGTTTTGGCAAGGAGTTGGATCTTACTGGCTCTACTAGTTCCTCATCTCTGAAACGCTTTGAGAAAATAGATCCACTGTGTAAAGAGAAGAGTGATTTGAAATGGTATGCCTCACCGTTAGTCTGACAGCTCTTTTCCTCTCTCTCCTCTGTGTTTAATCAGAATAGGGATGGAAGGGACCTTGGAGGTCTTCTAGTCCAACCCCCTGCTCAAACAGGAGACCCTATACCATTTCAGACAGGTGGCTGTCGTCTTTTCTTAAAAACAGTGACGAAGCACCCACAACTTCTGAAGGCAAGCTGTTCCACTAGTTAATTCTGTTATTAAAATTATTCTCACTGTTAGGAAATTTCTCCTTAGTTCTAGGTTGCTTCTCTCCTTGATTAGTTTCTGCCCATTGTTTCTTGTCTTGCCTTCTGGGGCTTTGGAATATAAGATGACCTCCCCCACACTTCTTCGTGCCAGTCCCTCAACTACTGGAATACTGAGATCATGTCACCCCTAGTCCTTCTTTTCTCCAGACTAGCCATACCCAATTCCCGCAACAGTTCTTCATATGTTTTTGTTTCCAGGTCTTAACCATGCTTTATTCAGGCTGCTCCTTTAATCATATTGCTGTTCTAAGAATCTTAGATCTTACTGGCTCTACTAGTTCCTCATCTGTGAAACACTTTGAGAAAATAGATCCACTGTGTAAAGAGAAGAGTGATTTGAAATGGTATGCCTCGCCGTTAGTCTGACAGCTTTCAATGTCTACATCTTTTTGCTCAACCAAAGATATCAATCTGCAAAATCTGCTTCTCTTTCTGAAAGATCAATAGCAACGTGGGGCCATGCAGTCTTAGTTTTCACCTTTTTGTTCTGCCCTACATAATGTTACAGATACTTACAGTCATGTGTCTGCTGCACTTGCTGTTCCTCAGGATGGAAGGGTTGTTGGTCCACATATTGGGACTGCTGATCTTCAAACTGGGATTGCTGATCCACATATTGGGATTTCTGGTCCTCATACTGGGATTGCTGGTCCTCATACTGGGATTGCTGATATCCAAACTGGGCATGTACTGCCACAATAATTAGAAAAGCAACGCATTAATGGTCATGGACTTCATGAAAAATTCACCTGCAACAATTCTGCAAAATATTATTGTCCTTCTAATGCAGGGATGTCAAACTTGTGTCATCACAGCAGCTTTACGTGATGTATTGGGCCTTTCCCCCCACTTTGTTAAACTGGGCGGGAGCGGGGCTAGCCTGTGATGCATCCAGCCCATGGGCCACAAATTTGACATCCCTATTCTAGTGTTTTATTTATTCTCTGAGATGTTTTATTTTCTCTGTTCATCACCCAGCATTTAAAGCAGTTTAAAATATTCAATGAAATATAGAATTCAGGATAGAAAAACAAGTGCCTGAGGTTATAATTAGTTCACTTCTGAGTGCTTTCTGGTGGTCTCTGAGCTTGGCTGTTTTCTTGCAGACGTTTCATGATCCAAACTAGTTGACATCATTAGTACCAAGGACCCCTCATTTTACCCCTAAACTACAAATATTCTCCTTTATTGATAGTTCATTTCTCTTTCAAAAACACAGCTATAAAATGGCTCTTTAGCTTGCTGTCTAAAAGCAAGAAAGGAAGGCATTCCAGAGAAATGTTCTGTGAAGTATTTGAATGTTGTGGCCTCATTATTCTGAAAGCCCTATACTTTCACTAGGTATACAAAATACAATGAACATTCTAGCAGCAGCAGATCAATTTGATTTGATATTATACAAGTACTTATTATACAAGTATGACAATTTGTAATTCTTCCAATTTGAAGTCTGTCTCTCTCCTTCTCTCCCTCTCCCACTCTGTGTCTCCCTCCCTCTCTCCTTCTCCCTCCCTCCCTCTCTCTCTCTTGACAAATCTGTCTGTGCAACTCTGTTGTGGATGTGCATGCATTTCCATATACACACACGCATACACATAACACACACACACACATTTATACGTTTCTTTAAAATCAGGGGAATTTCCATCAGTCAAAACTCACTAAAATACTATTGCTTTCGGTTTTTCTAGTCTATAAATAAGTCTGGAAACAATCTACCAAGTGTCTTGTTACATATTTTTGCCATCCCTCTTGGCATTATTGGCCCTAAATGCAACATATTTCAAAGTAAGTTGTTTCGTTTTCCTTTTGCCTCATGAACCTGGTCATAGTAATTATAGTCACTGGAATAACTTGCTAATATGTAGAACATCTAAAAATGTTATCAAAGTAAGTTTTGAGAGATGAAGCCTGCTTGTCTCCTTCTAGAACTCAATTGTATCAAAACTTGAGCCACACTAGTTATAAGTTTTAGTCTAGCATCCACTTTCCAGTTATGCTCAGCAAGATGCTTCTAGAAAGTATCTAAGTAGCACAGGGTTAATGGACCCCTTTCCTCTGTTTTCATCCTACAAATAGAAATTTAATTTGTGGTGCCTCTGAACATGGAAATCTACACTATTTTAAGGCAATGACAATTCTTTCGGCTTGTAACATCATGTTCCATAATTGTGTGCCAGGTTGTGAAATACTTTCCTTAGTCTCTCTTCAATTGCCATGTCTGTACTTCATTGAGTATTCCTTTTCTAGTACAAGAAAAAGGAGAAACATTTTCTTGAACTTCTTTCTAAAAAGCATTTAGAAGTTTACTAGTATGAGTCACCTTTTATATTCCTTTCTTATAAATAGCCAGAACTGTAGAGAATATATATGTGTGTGTATGTGTGTGTGTGTTTGTGCATACACACAAAGTGATTCATACACATTTACATTATTAGTTTTCTTTAAGTCTATTGTTAATACAAAATAACTTATAATTTAAGTTATTTTATATATTTTATTAATAGACTACAATGGATATGCATATATGTCTACAGTGTGTTGTTAATTTATATAGAATGGCATGATATTCCTGTCTTTCCTTGTTGAAATGCTACACTAGAACAATGAGGAGGAAGAGGAGAATAGTGGTAGTGGTGATGATGATGATGATGATGATGATGACAATAATGAAGAAAGGAGGAAGAGAAGAACCTAAAACAGATTTTATCTTTTTACCGCTCTTGAGCCTTACACTTATATTCTCACGAACATATTAGTTACCATCCAAAATGAATAATATCAGACTTTGACAGATTCTAAACAACTTCATTCCATCTAAGTCCAACAAATCAAAATTCTTTGACCTTAATCAAATTCAATGTTATCACAAAGAATCCTGAATTTTATGCTGAAACCAGAAATATATTAAAATATGAACTTTATGGCATTTTCTTCTTTTATACCTCTTAGAAAACTTCTTAACATCTTACTACAAGAACCTTGAGTAGAAACTGTGTAAATGTGTTTTGCAATAACTGTACTGATCTTAATCCTACTTGACCAGAACACATGGACAAAAGAAGGAAATGGAATCTTAATTCAGGCAGATCTGCTAAGGTATCATAAAGTTCACATTCCTTGAATGGCTGATGATTTTAAATGCAATTAATTCAATGCTGGATTTCTAATTCATCAAAAATAGCATGAACTTTGCAATAGGCTTCAAGAGCTTAACAATCTTATTACAAGCTACCTGAACAATGCAGTGTTTTTATTTGCCTTATCAACCTTCTCAAGTTTGTAACTTTCCAGATTCACATATGATAAACTGTATTTATTCTTGCAGGAAAAAAATGTACATGAAAGAGAGAATTAATTTTCTATGCTTCATATTGCATCGGCTCCATTAACCACTGGCTTTTCTTCTCTTTTTTATCATTTTTATCCATCAAAACACTGCTCAATTTTTCCATAAAAGCTGGAATATTGGTGATTGATAGGCGAACTCAAGCAAGTGTTTTTCAAGTCCTGATAACATTTAATGAGGCAAAGCAAAGAAAACAGTGTAAAATTATCAGCCCTTCAATAAGCCAGGCATTTGCTGAATGTCTTTCAAATGATAGGAAATGAACTTCTCTTAAAGTTTCCTACCTTTCTGATGGCTTAAGATGATCATTAGTATAGGTATCCATAGTGGTATTCGGGTCCCTCTGCCTATCCCCATCCTGCCTGGGGAGTTTGGCAGCATGTACCATATGACGGTCTTCTGAGAAGCCACTTGTCTTTTGATGCCTCTTATATAGCAGGCGTGTGGACTCTGGCTGAGTTCCCAGATAGTTTCACAAGCTCTAAGAGAGGTGGAGTTTCAGAACCTTTTAGCAGGTGCACAGATTGTGAGATGATGCTGTTTTACTTTATTCAGAGTTGCTATGGCCATTGAAGAAACTCAGATGAAATGGGAAGCAAAGTTCATCACGTCTTTTGCCATTTCATAAGGTTAAAGAGAAGATGCAATTCAAGGATCTTGGCCTTCATGGTGGAGTAATGGTAAAGAGGTTGGGCTAGGCCCAAGTTCAACTCCTCCCTCAGCCAGAGGAGCTCACTAGATGACCTTGGGTCTTGCACCTTTGCTTAATCCAACTTCCTTCTCAGGAATTTTGTTAATAAGGAAAAATGGGAGGAGGGAGCACTACAAGTACTACCTTAAACTCGTAAATAATACGTAAAGATTGGGTGGGGTTGTTCTATCCTTAATGCACAGGTTCTAAATAACCTTTTAAATAAATACTAAATATTAAAAGTAGCAGTCACTAGAACAATATCTCAAAACAAAAATAGAAAGGGACTAACGATTAACGCTGTTCCTTAAAAACTTCCAGACAACCCAAATGCCAAATTTACAGAAATGTAGATGTTTTAATTATTTAGTTAATTTCTGTAAAAAGATTTTTGTGCAGGGGTGTAAACAATATATGAAAAGGTATAATTGAATTTTCAATGATGGGAAGAATCAAGGAAACTATGCCATAACCACAACGACCCTGCATAATGTCAAAAAAACAAATAATAAGCAAGTAAACAAACAGTCAAATAAATAAATAAATAAATATCTTACTTCAGTATGCTAGGGAACATTTTCCCATAGGGAAGCAACAGCTTCTCAAGCCGGCAACTTGGATTAATTTTAGACTAATTAACCTTGGCAGAGTAACAGTTACAAGGGACATTGGAGGTTTTCTAGTCCAACCCCTTGCTGAGGCAGGAAACCCTGCACCATTTCAGACAAATGGTTGTCCAATCTCTTCTTTAAAACCTCCAGTGTTGGAGCACCCACAACTTCTGGAGGGAAGTCATTTTACTGATTGTTCTAAGGGTCAGGAAATTTCTTCTTAGTTGTAGATAGCTTCTTTCCTTGATTAGTTTCCACCCATTGCTTCTTATCCTGCCTTCAGGTGCTTTGGAGAATTAGTTTACCGCCCCTCTTCTTTGTGTCAGCACCTTAGATGTTGGAACACTGCTATCATATCACCGCTAGTCCTTTTCTTCATTAAACTAGAGACACGCAATTCCTGTAACCGTTCTTCATATGTTTTAGCATCTGGTTCCCTAATCATCTTTATTGCTTTTATCTGTATAGATCAATACAATAATTCAATAAAAGTTTCTTCCCGGACATATTACAATATAGTACCTGTATTCAAATCAGGGACTGGTAGTCTGTTCAATTAACAGGGAACACTACAGGATCTCAGATGATGGCACAGATATTGAAAAATGTCCACTTTCCAGTATCTTACAAAGTTGCATGTGAAGCCATGAAAATCTTGTAAGATTTGAGATCTCATGAGATTTTGCTCATTTAAAAATCATGATGAAACAAATTTAACGTCAAGAACCTTTGGGTGCTGTTTAAGTGTCAATTGTACTTTGGTATTGATTGTGCTCATTAGGAAAGAAAGACAGAAAGACAAAAAAGAAAGGAAAGTAAGAGGAAACCCTGCCTATAGATATAGATATACAATTATATGCATTTATCCCAGTCAGGTGTCACAAACATTTGCAGGGGGTGAGGTTTGTCTAGATGGCTAAGCCCTCCAGTTTCATGGTGCCTAAACAGGGTTCCAATATAATATGCAGAAATGTAAAGGTTTTTACTCTAGGCTTTGTGTAAAGAGCTATTGCTCTTTTCCTCATATTACTTGGTTAAATTAGTTCTGCACTTTTGCACTAACTCATCTTAAAAAGATGAATTTTATTAACAATACTAGTAGTCCATGCTGGGCATTGTGATTTGTACATTAATTTCCATGTGGTCATTCTTTGCTACATTGCATCTCTTCCTGCAGAAGAGGATTCAAATTTTCCAGATCAAGCCCTGTTCCATGATTCTAGGAGCAGGGATGGGATTCTACCAGTTCGCACCTATTCGCTAGAACCGGTTGTTAACATTCTAAGCAGTTTGGAGAACCGGTTGTTAGAAGAAATTACTGGCCTAATCCTGTAAGGAAAGCAGGAAGGAAACATTCTGGTGTTGTTTACAGAAACTGCCTCTCTGTTAACCCTTATTACATTCTTGGCAGGACTAGACTTCCTGTCTCCGGAACATCTCTGGAGTTTTTCCCCCCTCCTTTGCTGGTACTTTGCTTGTATGGAGTGACCATTCAAAGTTACAATGGCACTGAAAAAAGTGATTTATGACCATTTTTCACACTTGTGACTGTTGCAGCATCCCCAGAGTTATGGGAGGCCAGGCGAGGAGATGCGTGCCTCGATGTGAGTGAAATTGAGTTGGCCATGCCCAGCTGATAACATGACCACCAAGCCACGTCCACCCAGTCACATGATCACCAAGCCACGCCCACCAACTAAACCACACCCACAGAACCGGTTGTTAAAAAATTTGAATCCCACCCTTGTCTAGGAGGTCTTTAAATCTGTTGGCCAAGTGTGGCTGATGCCAGAAAAGCTGAGCTGGTTCAGGTCTAGTAAGTGTTGGGATAGAAAATCCACAGGGAATCCCAGGGCTTTAATGTAGATTAGGAAGTTAAAAAAAATCTGAAGGAAATGGTCGACCAACTTTGTATTAGTGCAAAGTAAATTCTGCACACATTTCCATGAAGTCCCCCCCAAAAGAGCTCACCTCAAAGAGAATTTTCAACCCATGGATTTGTTTGAACTAGAAAAGTGTAATGAGAATTATACCACACCCATCTTTCTCTTTCCAAAGTAACAGAGAAAGTAATATTTCTCACACACAACAATTGATAGTATAAAAAGTATGTACTGTAGGTATAATTACTATCAAAGTTATGGAAACCTTTTAGTTGGCTTAGAACTAACCAAGGAAAAGAATGCTGTTCAAACAAATGGGAACTCGGTAACAAATCACTTTGTAAATTATATTGTTAAGAATGCTTCCACTTACTGGAAAGGGGAAGCACAACTATAGCACAGTTGAGAGACTTGTTATTCTAAACAAAATAAAAAAAATCTGGTTCAATATTTACATATTAGCCAGGTTACTTTTATTCAATCAGTCACTCATCCTAAAATAAGCAAAACTAAGTAGTTATCTGCCAGTTCTAGGCACACCTACAGGGTTGGGTTACTCTTATATCCCATATGTTCATTGAAACTTGCTCTTGCTCATAATCAAATAGTAAAACTTTCCTGGACTGAAACCTTTTTTTATTGGTGGTGGAGACTGGCTACTAATTTGGATAAAATGATTTGAAAATTGCCTTCACTCTACATAAAACAACAGGGAAAGCAACCTCCATCTTTAAATCCAACTATATTTCACAGTTTAACTTCATGTAGTCCTTGTCCTAATTTGAAAATAAATATTGAGAGAGAGAAGTTATGGACACTTCTACCTACTTGTAGCCTCATCCAACTATTGCACATTATGGCCATTGCAGTTTCCTTAAGGAATGCAGCCCTTGCGGGAGACAAGTTTGCTTATTTTTGATTTAGACAAAGTAAAGGTAAAAACCAAGTAATTTTTCCCTCTGACATGTCAGCCATCTTACTATTATTATTGCTATGAACAATAGCTGCTATGCTATGAACAAAGGTTGAACAAGTTGGAGGTAATGGGCAAACCTGCCGATAAGGTAGAACAAGGTGCATCATTTGATAAATAAACTTCAGGTAATATATTGTTAAGAGAACTATGTAGTTAACCAAGTGCTCTCTTTTTCTGAGACCATATGTGTGGAATGTACTAAAAAAAAAACAATTAAAGAAGAGGCATACCTTTCTACTTCCAATCCCAGCTGTGAAAGTTAGGACCAATGGACTTTGGTGATCTTTTTCATGCCTCTAGTCCCGTCGATTTCTTCAAGCCCTGAGTCTCTTAGGAGCTGAAAGTCACCCTGGATGGGTGATAAAGGCAGAGGGGATGTTTCAGTGGTTGCGAGGTGAGTAGAGTCTCCTCAACTGACCCGAAGAAAATCCCTCCATCCGAACTAAAAAGAGAACTGCCAGCGTGGCTGAATCAAAGCCAGGAAGGCAGCTGAGACAGAAGTGAAAAAGAAAGGAAAGATCTTGTAACAGTGTGCTTAGTCTTGGTAAGAATCACTCCAATTTCTGCAAACTGATTCGATGCTTGAGGCTGAAAAAAATGAAGCTGCTTGACTGTCTAAATAAAACTTGACTGAAAATGCTTTTTGCTGTCTTTTAAGCAAATAAAAAAGTGAAAATACCATGGAAAGCTGTATGGGGCTTCCTTCTTTCAAAATTAGGTAAATAGCTTTCACATTAATATATGACCAAGGTCAACCTTTCATTCCTGGCTAGTTTCTGTAGGGATGACATGTCATGAGAAAGAGAGGTAGGGTCACCTTTCATGCCAATATCTGCTAGCTTAATACTAACATTTCACCCCAGTATAGTCTGTTTTTCCCCCTGCTATGATCTGCAACAAGAAAAGAAACCTAGAGTACAAGGCCATTTTTTTTCCTACCAGTTTTTCTCCCCAACTAATACTTTGACCCAGGTGGATATGGAAGTACAATATGTATTTATTTATCGAATGTATACACCACTGATCTCAGTATCTGAGTGACTCTAGATCAGGGGTGTCAAAATCAAGGACTGCGGGCCAGATCCAGCCCGTGGGGTGCTTAAATCTGCTCCATAGGGCCAACCTGGAAACAGTGAAGGACCAGCCTGCAGTGCCTCTACCAATGAAAATGGAGCTTGGGAGGGCGGCACAACACACTCTCAAGCTCCAT